GAATACATAACTGCCAGGCGATGGGGTGTGCGTGTGCGTCTGGGTGTGCGGTTTGGAGGTGTGCGTGAGTGCGGGTGAGAGAGGAGAAAGAGGGAGAGAAGGAGGAGAGAGAGAGAAGGGGGGGAGAAAAAAAATCAAGCCTGCTTCTTGCGTTCACATTTCCAACTCGGCTCAACTGCAGCCAGCCAGCGCTATTGCCGCTCCATGAGCTGAACTTTAACCCCGCCTAGAGTTTCCCTACACTCCACTATACATGTCTACTGTACGCGGGCGTTAAAGGCATAGCGCACCCTTTCCCGCTCCCTGGCTCGCTGGCTCTCTCGTCCCTCTGCACCCCCCCACCCCACCCCCTCGTCCCCGCTCAGCGCATTACTGGGTAACGCAGTGAGGAGCAGTTACAGTCTGTACTCCCGGGCAGCTATAGGCTGCCACAGGATGTGCTTAAGCAAACAAAACTACTTTTCCTCATCCCCATCCCCCAATCCCCGCCGCAGACCTTCGCGGACCTCAGGGGAGGACTTGGGCAACTTTGCCAGGTGGCCCGGCACCCCCGAGTTCGCGGTGTGGGCACTGGGAGAACCCGAGACAAGGCCCTGGGGCCAATTTGCATGTATGCAAATTTTTTTAATCGGACCTCCTAGGTAACTTTTTTCCCCTCTGAAATGCGGTACGGCTCAAAAGCATTGTAATCTCTTCAACCAAGCTTTCTGTGGGAATAGATCGTCGGCAGAGGTAATTAATGCACAAAATCCTGCAAACTTCGTGTAGCTCCAGTCCGATGGTATTCAAGAGCGGGGGTGGCGGAGAAATTTTTCACACAGAAGATTCACCGGATTTGGGGGGTGGGGGTGGGGGGTTGTCTGGAGAAAGGGAGGCGGAGATTAACGAGCGTTCTCCCTCCCAGGACTGTGAAACTAGTGGGTCTGAACACAAGACGCCATAGAAAAAGTTCTATCACGTTCAGAAACAACAGTCGTTTAGCTGTGACATCTTTTTCTTTTCAGGAGAAAAAAAAAATTGTAAAAGGGATGTCCCCTTAGGGAAGGGAGATATTCTGGTCCCCAAAGCGTGCCCAGAAGTGGACACAGGCTATTATTACCGTCCCTGTGCCTGGGACACCTCTGGAAGGGTGCCTTTTAAGAATCCCCTTTTTTTCTCTCCCCCAGGTAATAGTTCTTAAAATGGAAAAGAGCTTCCTGCAATTATTTTAGGTTTGCTAAAGTATTGTTTTGGCAGAAAGGGGGGGGTGGCTTTTAGGGTTTGGCAAGTTGCCAATAAGCCTGCTTTTCCAGTTTTTTTTTAACCTCATATTTTCTCTCTAGGCTCTCCTCCCTACTGGAAAAGGGGGGGGGGGAAGAAAAGTATACCTCCTTCATCCAAATCTCCAAACCCCCATCCCATCTCTTCCTCCTCATCTCCCTCACTCCAGTTTGCAGCCTGCTACCTTCGCGAATCCTTCTCAAAATTCCAAAAGGAAAGACACAGACTGGGGAATCTACACCTTTGTATCTGTTACATAGCTTAGACAGCCTCTGAAAAGAGGAAATTACTGTAAGAATGCCCACTCTGCAGGTGAGGGTCAGGTGAGGTGTTAAGGCCACTCTCATTCAGGCTCCCCCTCCACCTTGTTTAAGTAAGGGGTAACAAAAATACCTCTACTGGGGAAAGTAAAGTCTTCTGAAATATTCCGCATCTGTCTAAAGTTATTGTATGCTTGTTCTCCAGCTACTTTATTGCTAAAATAATTCCTGAATGCTCAAGAGACCATTTTCATACATCCTGATCCTAAATATCCTTGGACATCTCTCAGACTATTTATTAAGGGGCGAGGAGAAATGATGACATAAACCTTTAATGAGAGAGCCCCAATTTTCCAAATTAAACAACGGCGTTTCCTTGGTTCTTCTTGGATTTCAGTAGGGGGAAAATGTCCTAAAAGCTAAGCCGAGTTACAGAGACAACTTCCTGGCCACGAAAACATTTGCTGGGATCTATAACTTCAACGCGCTCCAAGTTTCCTCGATAGAAATTTCTGGCTGACGGTCCCAACATGTAACTGAGGCACAGGGAGAAGTTATTGTTCAAGTGTGTGCTCTTGGGAAGCTGTCTTCAAGAGCAGTTTAAAATCTTTCTTTTGGTGTATTAAAAGATAGACTTTACATCTGCTTCTTTCAAAAACAGCAAAGATTCTTACTTTTAACTGAATCTCAAGAAAAAGATTTTTAAAAAGAAAAAAACAGGACTGGCACGTCGCCCTGCTTGAAAAAAAATGGAGAAAAGTAATTTAATGCTGATATTCCTACTTTAAAACTTCTTTTGTTGCAGCAGTGGATGTGCCCGCGATTTCCAGCTTTCTGCGGTTAGCAATATTATCTTAAGTAACTTTTGGCGCCTTTCGTAAGACTTTTGGATATGGGACGATTGTTTGCGCCCTCTAGGCAAGGGCTGGATCCAAGTTCAGCACCAAAGCCCTTCACATCCGCTCCTGCTTTCTCTCCTATCTCCGCCAGCTCCCGCTCCCTCCCTGGCGGGAGGAGGTGGGGGAAGAGGCGGGGGAAACACTACAAAGCACAGTTCCAACTACAGCCTTTGGAAACAGGACTGAGAAAAATACAGTAGAAGAGTTACAGTTACAGAAAGGCTTCTGGTAACTTTCTCTCCAACAGGCATAAATTTAAACACACACAAAGAAACAGATGTTCCTCAAAGGGCAGTCTGGGGGTAAAAAACATTTCCAACTCTCTCCCCTCTTCCCAAGTTGCAAAAGTAAATCCTTGTCCAGAGTTCACAAAGATCCTAAGGGGGAGGGGGGGGGAGGAAGAGAGAGAGAGAGAGAGAGAGAGAGAGAGAGACAGACAGACAGACAGACAGACAGACAGACAGACAGACAGACAGGGAGGAAAGAAGAGATAGCGAGAACAGTGTAGGCAACACAGGTGAAGTACAAAAACTAGTTTACTACAATCATATAAATGACCCATTGTTAGGAAGGATAAGCCCCTTATTGGAAATAACCGCTCCAATCATTTATTTTGTAAGTGCTGGGAGGCTGCCTTGAAATGGGATTGTCTCTGCGCAAAGGAGGCTCCTGTCATGCTCTCAGCTATCCATATTCTTCCTGGCACAGAGCCCAGCCTTGCATTTACTGTGTTTTATTTGCAGAAATGTTACCTTGCCAGTTTTAGTGAAATCCTCTTAGATATATAAATTACGTCAATAAGGTTTCACTTATATGTACATCTCAAATACCCCTCATTTTAGAGGTTACTTAATAGGAAGTTCTTATTAATATGATTTAGATTTTAATGCCCAAAGCAGTAAAGATAAAATTGGGGTTCGTAAGTGACAACGCCATTAACCGTAGTTCTTACCAAGACTACCTTTATCACTAGCATTTTCCAACATTTTTCTTCTCTCGTTTTTTTGACCTGCTGGTCACTTGTGTGCAGATTTTTCTTATATGCTTATATTCCTAAATTGAATCATATTGCTGAACTGAGCATCCAAGTGGATTCTTACATCAAATTTCCAAACCAGATTTGATTAGAAGGCCTAAAGCCTTGGGAAAATAGTTCGATGGGAATTTAATACAAAGATGGGAAAGAGCCCATATTATTTTCCATTCACTTCCCAACAGAATTAGGTGTCTACACTGCTTAGAGGGAAGGAAGAGATGGGTATATTTTACTCAAAGGCTGCCAGTTACTGTCTCCAAGACAAGCTTCTGCAGTTGGTTTCCACTGGATTGGTGTCAAAGACTTGTCCTAGAGGCCAGACTCCAGCTAAGAGTTAGCCAGTCAGCAATCCCCCACACATACCCTCCACAGGGGTTGTTGTGGTAACAAGAAGAAATGTGAGTTTGGCCAGTCTTAATACCCTAGTTGCTACCGACTATATATTAAACAGCAGAATTCAAAAAAAGTAAAGAAAAAACACTCTCTTTCTCCCCTTCTTCCTTTTAAATGTAAAAAACAGCTGTCAGTCCACCTGTGAAACATTTCTTTCCCTTAAAACTGTTGTTGAGAGTTCAAGACTGGAGGCTTGCCTATTCTTCCAAAGTGCCCAAAAAGCCAATGCTTCTAAGATCATCAGAGAGAGAAGTTTTGTAATGCTGAGTATGCAATGTATTACTTCCCAAAGCTTACTACAGTCCCATAGTTCAGGGAAGTTTTTAAGTCATACATTTTTAAAAGTTGAACCTCACCTTCTACAACAGTTAACTTCTCTGAATTTAAAAATAATAATGCAAAGTTAAATATTTCTCCAGCAGAATTTTTCTAACTCTTTCCAAAAAGGCAGTGAAGAAGGCATAAGATTCATACAAAAATCCCCTAATCAGTTTTTTTTTTTCTTAAACTCGAAAACTCTTTCCTATTGTGCTTGCTAAATCCGGAAGAGCTTGTAGCTTTGACAGCTTGAACCACACCATCCCCTTCAGAGCCGCAGAGAACTTCAGATCTTCTCTGCCCCGCCCCCTCTGGCTATTGCGAACCACTGTACACCCAAGCTTCCTCATGATTGGATATAGCTTTTGTCAATCTCCCATTTTGTCCCATTGATTAGACGATCGAATCGTCAATTATTCTCCGGGTCCAGACATTTCTTTTCGGGCTAGGTTGGCTGCTGAGGCCAGACGTCTTTTTACAGAACAGAGCACGTAGAGGATTTTCCCCCCCTTTCTGGAACCGAGCAAGCGCTAGGACGAAAAAAAATCTGTCAAGCTCAGCAATTTTTTTCAAATCTCGGGAAAAAAAAAAAAGGAAACCCAGTCTCTGATGCACACAGCAAAAAAAAAACCAAAAAAAAAACCATCCACAAAGCTACATCTTTAAAACAAAACCATTACAATAGACATTTACCCAGCAATCACTTAAATGCATATGCAAGCTACAGAAATTTTTAAATCTTAGCCATTAAACAAAATCATTCTACCATTATTGTTGTTTATAAGACGCATATCGTATAAACGCAAAATAGAAAGTTTAAGACGTACCACGTACCATTGCAACGTAAAAAGAGTACGTGAGAAACTTTAAAATGTTCAGACGAATTGCTTCATTTGTTGTCCCCTTTTTTTGGCATTAAAAAAAATCTAAATAAACTTGGAACCGTTGAAAACCCGGAAGAGATTTTTTTTTAAAGCTGTTGGCCAATTGCAGGCTTCTTAGAGAATTTTTTTTTACTCCAAATCAGAAGGCTTTTGCAATTGCAATGCGCGCTCTCTGCCTCTCACTGTCTCTCTCTCCTCTTTTGAAAGCAGTCCAACCCCGGCTGGCTGGTTCTCAGATTCTTTTCTGGTTTTGCCGTGTGTGCTTTGGATTGTACGAGACTTTGAAGAAGTTGCAATCGATTCACACTCCCTCTCTCCTCTCCCTATCCCCTTGTTTATTTCCGCAATCGCTGCAATTTGCATAGTAACCACGCACAAGACGCCGGCGGCAGCCTGCGGAGGGGGCCAGGAGGGGGCAGGGAAAAGGCCTTGCCCCCTTCTCCCCTCCTCCCATCTCTCTCCCCGCCAGTCTCCTCCTCCCACGGCGCGTGGCCAATAGGAGTCCCGGCATTCAGCGCAAGCTCCGGTCGGGACACTGTTCGGAAGAAAAGCCCCAGTGTTACTAGGCCCGGGTCGCAGGATCGTGTTTTTGGCGCAGAAGTTCCTCTGTTTGGGGACCTTGCAGCCGGTGCTAGGGAGATGGGAGGATATAGTACCTTTGCCTGGGGTTGTGCAGGTTTTGCACGTTTTAATGAAATCTGTACACCTGCTTTCTCGGTTTCTTTTTCCATAGCCTCTCGTGAGTTATTAGGCTAGTTCATGATGGTTAGCGAGAGATTTAACCTTTATTTGCACCGGTGTAGACCAAGAGTTAAAGATCCTCGTTGGTGCATTAAATCAAGAGAGTGCAAAATGTCACAGAGAACTTACAGTGAAATAAAGCTGCTACTCCAGGTTCATGGAGGAAAAGACATTGGCTCTGGTCTCTGCAGATGACTGAACATAAAATTGTTAGGTGGGCTCCCTCAAGGATAAAGCTGTTCCTTTAAAGCAGGAGACGCAGTGAAATTCTAATTTAATTGCCATACATCTCATTTGTCAATATCCTTACAAAACCTGGGTTCCACAAAGTTTAATGCACCCCTCCACCTCCCAATCCTAAGAGAAGGGCTCTAAGATTTAAAAGGTTGTTGTTGTTTTTTAAGATAGTTATTGGAACATTAGGTCTTTCATCTCACTGGTTCATCTTATTTCATTAACCCAGGCGCTATAAGACTGTGTGATCTGGAGATTTCAATGATAACCTTTTACGAGTTTGTTTTAAACAACAAACTAGTTATTGGGGCGGGAGAGGTGGGGGTGAACAACTCTAAACGGAGGGAGTGTGCCTTTAAATGGAAAGCATCACAACCAGGCTATTGCGTTTTTGTTTTTTTTTAATGTGTTTGCTTTGCGTCAGTTAAGTAGCTTAGGACGTTTTGCTGAATAACTGAGTTACAGGAAAATGTGTGCTTAGCTCACTTGCTAAAAATTATCCAATAAGAAGTCAAGAGGAATAGGAAGCAACCTGGCAGCTGTCTGATTTGCTCTACCGTCCTTGGTGAAGGTACCTAATTAATTAATAACAGGACCTTGCACAGTTAAATTAGAGGTTAGAGAAACCTATTTTATTTTGAACCACATTTTTAGCTTTAGGCTTGCATTTTACAACTAGCTAACTGATGCAGCATTACTGGGAGGTACAGTCCTGTGGCTGCCCTGGGTGTTAGACAAGCTTTGCTGGACTGCCCATTTATAGATTCAGGTATTGTCTTGTTCTAGAAAGGCTGTGGCATTTAATCCTGGCCTCCACTGAGCATCCATTTCCACTTGGCATACTGTTTTCACCTTAGAAACACACTTGATGGAATGTGGTAGCTTAAGAAAAAAAGAAAAAAAAATTTTTTTAAGTAACCAAAAAAGTTCTAGCCCTAGTTCAGCTGGAGATAGGCTGTGTGACCTTGCGATGATTACATAACACCTGTAAAAGAGGAGATCAACTTATTATGAGACTGGAAGACTTTTTTGTCAAGAGCTAAGAGGCTTTGAAATAAATACACAAGAGGTATCAACTTGCATTGCATTGCTCTGTAGATGCCATGGTCTCAATAATCCCCAATGCTAAGCAAGCCAGACCTTGTCAGTAGGTGGTAACACTGATTTTTGTCTGCATTGTCTGTAGTTCATTTACTGAGTTTAAAGTGGTAGGTTAGCACCATTTCCAAAGTGACCTTTTCTATCTCCATCCTGTCAACAACAAAACAGCGTAACCTTTGGAGTCCAATATAGATGTTAATATTGGGTCTATTATGTAACTCCAAGCAAATTATTTAACCTCTGTAAGCTTTAGATTCCTCATCTAGAAAATGAGAGATAATCAGATAACACATGTAAATTATCTAGTATATTATGTGTGTTCAGTATATGGTAGCTATAATAATATTATTACTGTTTAATATGTACCATGTTGTAGTCACATTGAATGTGCTAAGAGCTAGGGATACAGAAAATAAGACATTACCCCTGACTCCAAGAAGCTTTCAGTCCAATGGGGGAGACAAGACACAAAGGTAAATAATAATGTAATATGATAAGTACTATTGCCAACTTAGATATACATAAAGGGCCATAGGAATACAGAAGATAGAATGACTTATTTTGCCTGGTTGTACAGATAGATTCATAGAAGGCTAAAAAAGAGAAAATGACATTTGTATTGGGCCAGCAGTATGCATTTGTCAGGTGGACAAGGGAGAGGCAGAGCATTCCTGCCCAGAAAAGCGCGGTGATGTAATTGTATGCAGTGGACAAGAGAATGGGGACATATTCGGTTGTGGCTAGTTGCTCTAGCTAGTATTAGCTTGTATTACAGTAACTAGAGATGAAGTTTAAAAGGTGGGCTGAGACAAGATGGTGGAGAGCCCTTGTGAGCCATTTAAAGTGTCACTTGAGGGACTGGGGATACATCAAACATATTTAACCTAAAGATATACAAAGTAAGGTTTGCAAATTAGAAAGATAACTCTAGCAATTGAGGCAAAGAGACCAGTTAGAAAGAGGTGAGAGAAGATGAAGTGCTGGACAGCACAGCAGAAATGAATAAACAGGAGAAGGAAGAAAGAGTAGAGGATAGGAGAGATGTGAGGAAGCAAGGGAGACCCACCATGGACATGAGTTTCCACAGACTTGGATCAACAGGGACAATTTAGGAGGGCAATTTGTCCAGACTTTCCTTAAAGTCCAAATACCCATAAGATGCATTATAAGTCCTGTTAGTGCAAGAGGCTCTCCATATCCTACAAATTGCCTTCTATCCCCTTAAGCCTACTAATATTCAATAATTTAAAAATAATACCAGTAGCAATAGCAATAACTCACATGGATTGAGTCTTTACTCTATATGGGCTCTCTGCCCCCATGAATTTGCATTCCAGTAACTTCAGCCCCACCCACTGTGCCACTGAAAATTAGGTACACATAGGGTGACTTTGGGTTGCTAACCCCATTGAGAGCCTCATGTTTCCATATAGGCTGGACTTATGCCTTGAAAGCAGTAGGCTCTTCCAGGAATTCTGCTTCGTTGACCCAAAGAAAAAGGACATGGATTGATATGGACACGAGGATATCAGAGACTTACAGAGTTAGAATAATTCAAAATTGCAATATATTTCTAATAATTTTTTATTTTAATTTGTGAACTATGCTGCATATTGAACAAAGAGATACATTTCACATTTTCTTGATTTGCCTGGGTAAATCCTAGGTTATCCAAAGCACTGTTGTGGCTAAATAATCAACACTGGCATTTAGAGGACCAACATGGCAATACGAGATATGACAATTAAGTTCGCAAACTTGTTGCAAAGATGTTGCTAACCTTTTTTTGATATCAGAGGGATTATTCATTATGCATTTGTACCAACTGGACAAACAGTTAACCAAGTTTACTATTTGAAAGTGCTGAAAAGGCTGCATGAAAAAGTTAGACGACCTGAACTTTTCGCCAACAATTGATGGTTCTTGCATCATGACAATGCACCAGCTCACACAGCACTGTCTGTGAGGGAGTTTTTAGTCAGTAAACAAATAACTGGATTGGAACACCCTCCCTACTCACCTGATCTGGCCCCCAATGACTTCTTTCTTTACCTGAAAACAAAGGAAATATCGAAAGGAAGACATTTTGATGACATGCAGGACATCAAGGGTAATACAACAACAGCTCTGAAGGCCGTTCCAGAAAAAGAGTTCCAAAATTGTTTGAAGGGCTGGCCGAGTGACTCAGTTGGTTAAGAGCTCGTTCAAGAGTGCGAGCTCTGAGCAACAGGGTTGCCGGTTCGATTCCCGGCCCAAGTTGAGCTGCCAACAGGTAGCAGGATGGCTCAGCTAAAAAAATAATAAATAAATAGATAACCAGATAAAATAAAATTGCTTTGAAGGGCACTGACATCGTTGCACAGCTTCCCAAGGGGAGTACTTTGAAGGTGTAAGTACTTTTTCTAGGATGAGCTCGCGAACTTAATTGTCCGACCTTGTATAAACGATAAACACTAGAAACAAATTTAAATTTAGGAATTGATAATCTTCCCAAATAATCAAGCTGTGGCCAGATGTTGTCCCCCCAAATGTGTTCTCCCCCTATTCTTAGATACATATGAGTAGATAAACAGTATAGTGCCTCTATTTTCCAGGCTTCCTCACAGATTGTCATGATAAGTGATTAAGTGCTCAGTAGAATGCAAGCAGAATTGTTGTACCCAACTTCCATATCACTTGCTTAAAAAAAATATTTGTTGTAAACATGTGGCCTTTCCAAAGGCTGTAATGAGGCCATGTTAGACACCCAACTTTAATTACAAGATCAGGATAATACCCTAGGAGACAAGAAAGCAGCAAGATGGGAGGAACCTGGGTTCCTGAATGACTTCATGGAGCAGAGATGCTTCTCCAGCCTTAAGCTATTGTGTTTTGAAGTCTCTGATATAGCAACTTAGCCTTTACTGTAACTAATAATCAAGATTATAAAACAATCTCATGGTATCTTTTTCTCTAGAGTTTTCTTTAGAGTATCTTTTTCTTTAGAGTTTTCTCTCAAATATCCTGAATTTCCCCAAATTAGTAAAGAATACACTTGATTTTGCTATCAGCCTCCTTTTCCAAACTCTCCTGCCTAATTTCTTCTACCCCTTCATCCCAGCCACACTAAATGAGTCACTTCTCTCTTTTCATGATTTTCAGGACACACCATATGTGTTCATCCCTCTCTTCCCTTGTTTGTGTGAATTCTTCTGCCCAAAAGTCTCTAAAGTTTTCCCCCTGTTCCACTCATTCCCCCTCCCACCCCAAAAAACCAGTTGAA